GTCTGTTTGTGCGTCGAGTCTGATCCCCGACTTTGGTAATTGCTATGCTTCTGAGTTTGTTCCCTTTAGCTGTTGAGTGTATATGCATTCCTGGGCTATACGATAGCATTCTTGGGCGGTGCGTTGTTCGCCTCGAATGTTGAATGTTCCCCACAGAGTAGGGAACTTGATCACTTGATATAGGCTTGACGGGATGGCTCTCATGGCGTGTATCCATGGCTGCCCTATGATGGCGTTGTAAGCTGTGTCTTGGTTCATGACTTGGAATGTTGTTTCTAGGGTAACGCCCCCGGCCAGAATGGGTAGCGTTATCTCCCCAAAGGTTTGCTCAACTGCATTGTTAAAACCTGTTAGTGTTATGCAACGTGGTACTATCTTGTCTTCGAGTCTTATTTATGTGAGGACTCGTGGGTGGATAATACACGCGCCGCTTCTGTCGTCTACCATTATTCTTTTCACATCAGTATCTGAAATACATAAAGTAATAACAAGAGCGTTGAAATGGGGGAAAGTCAAACCGTCGGTATTTGACTTATCGAAGATGATACTATCTCCGAGGTCGTCGTACCGTTCGTGGGTGATCGACCGCTTCGATTTGTGTGTGGTGGTGAACTTCACATGGTTGATCGTTGCTTCATCGCCTCCTCTAATGATCATTTGGATGGTGCGGGCGGAGGAGGGTGGCTTTGGAGGGCCCTGGTGTTATTCACGTTCGTGGCTGAAGTTGGCTCGTCCACAGTTGCTCATCAGTTCCCTCGGGTGCCCTTGGTTCAGCATGTTTACTACCTCTTGCTGTATAGCTATGCAGTCTTTAGTTTTGTGACCCCGCTCCTGGTGAAATTCATAGAGGACGTTTGACTTTCGGGTACTTGGGTCGGACTTCATCTTTTATGGCTACTTCACCTTTGTGCCAAGCTTCTCTAGTGCGTAAACTATTTCTGAAGGGAAAACACAAAAATTGTGAGCAGATAAGAGTGGAGGCATACCTCTTTCATTTCTCTGAGTCCCTGTATGTGGCCTGGACGGCCCTTCCGCATGTCGAGGAGACGGTAGGATGACTATTCTGACGTACGGTTGATGTTTTTCTCGGTTAAGACGGGCACCTGACTGATCTCTTCGACCATCATTACGACGATCTTTTCTCGACTCCGTTTGAACTGATGTCAATCGTTGTGTCGGACTGTTAAGGTTTTCCTCGTCGTCTCTCACCTTGGCGCAATAGGCATTGTGGATTTCTTCCCAAGTGGTGGGATGGTATTTCATGAGCCTGCTTAATAACTTTCTGGTTGCTCTCGACCCGTTCCTGTTCAACCCATTCTGGAAAGCTGCTACCGTCATCCCTTCTGATACATTTGGTAGGCTTATTCTTACCCTATTAAACCGGGTGAGGAAATCCCTGAGTCCCTCGCTAGGCGATTGCCTAACGACAAATATATCATTCACCCTGGCCTCCGCCTTTTTAGCCCCGACATGGGCGGTGAGAACTTGTCGGCCATTTCCTTGAACGTTATAATTGACCGTGCCGGCAGTTGTGTGTACCAGGTTAAAGCTCTCTCCGTTAGGGTTTCGCCGAACTTTTTCAGTAACACTGATGGTACTTGCTCCTTCGAAAGGTTGTTACCCTTCACTGCTGTGACGTAATGGATGATGTGATCTACGAGATCTGTTGTACCGTCGTATATCTTCAAGTACGGAGGCATTTTGAAGGTCTTGGGAATGGCGTGTGAAGGCGCTTCCTCGCTATACGGTTATTCGATGAACCGGCCAACATCTCGTTTTGGTAGCAACTTTGGGGTGCCCGGTATCTTATCGACCCTTTCTTGATACTCCCTCATCTGGTCGCGAAGTGCTTTGTTTTTGTTTTCCATTTCTTCTATTTTTTTAGAATGGCTGCAAGTGTGTCATTACCTGAATCAACAGTGGTGTAAGTGTTACCTGTTTGGGGGGCGGGCTGCTCGCCAGTGATCATTGTGATATCTGCTTGCGCGGTGTTTATGTTCTCCCTTTGAATGGGTTTGTCGAGTATATTGTTTAGAGTGCTTGTCGGCCACTCTTCCAGTAATTGTTTCACTGCTAGTGGTGCCTCCTCAGTTGTAGACGTGGAAGCTCCCCTTTCGCATGAAGCTGTTACGCTTTCATGAGGGGGAGGTGAATCACTCCACCTGGGTGTAGCACTTGGCGTCTTGTTATCTTCCCTGCCATCTTCGTTGATGGTGTTCAAAATGTTGGTAGTGACACCTGCTATTGCTTTCAGTCTTACATCTCCATTTCCTGCCATCATTAGTTTGTGCAAACGAAGAAGATATGGTTGTTTTTCTTCTTCTTTTTTTATCTAGAAGGAACTAAAAGTTCAACTAAAACCTCCCCATAGACGGCGCCAAATTGTTTGACCAAAAAAAGTGTTAAACGTTTTAGTTAAACCAATTAATGATAAATTAAATGGTGAGTTTTAGTCGAACTTAATAAATTCTAGACCAAATGTAACTGAATACTTGTAAAACGAGTGGTGCTCAAGAGTATTAAATAACAAATTTAATACTCAGTGATTGGCAATGAATATGTAAAAATATAAATAATGGCAATAAATGTAATAAGAGAGGATCTACTACCCAATTATTGTATGATTGGAATGTTCCTTTCTTCTATCAATGACGTTGAAAAGAAGAGAGAGATGAAGAGGGATGCAGAATCTTTGGGCTTGGTGAACAAAATCTCAACAACGTGTGCTTGAATAAATCAATGAATAAGACAACTTTTGGATATTCCCTTTTTTCAACCTTTACAATATGTTCTTACCAAAAAGTGAAGAAGATCCCCTTTTGTTCCCTATCTCTTCCTATTTATAAGGGATATTTCCCAAAAATCCTAAAAAGTACAGCATAAAGAATATCCAAAAGAATATTTTTTATGTCCACTTTTGAACCTATGCTACTGTTATTTTCTCATCTTAGCTGCCCGCTTTTGGCACCAGCCTTTGTGAGAGTAACCTTCAGTTGTTATATCATGGTCGACCCCATCCTTTGTCTTACTTATCTGTTACCGCCTAGTCGCCAAATTTGGACCTATACATTGCTGGCACTGTTTCTGCTCCAATTGATGGTTCTACTGAGCATGTTCTTTGATTCCTGGCTTGACTAAGGATCAGTACATACAACTCATGGTGTTGTTGCAGCAAACTCATCTCTCAGAACTTATTCCTCAATCTAGCATGATGGCTCGATGTGAGCAATGCCTTCTTGCATGGAGATCTTGATGAAAAGGTTTACACAAAATTTTCTCTCGATATGTCTGTTTTTCTTCTTCTTCTTCTTCTTCTCAGAATTCACAGCTAGTGTGTCATCTTCAAAAGATCTTATATGGACTAAGGCAGGCCTCTAGGAAATTATATGCCAAGTTATCTTAGGTCTTTCTAGGGGCTATTCTCATTCAATGAATGACTCCTTCACTATTTTCTTGGTATTGAGGTAGCTTATTCTGATTTTGGGTTGTTATTGCATCAGAGGAAGTTTATTAGAAACCTTTTCAGGATTAAAAGAGTGTTGTTATTTCCTTTGTCACTTGTCCTCTGATTCTGATTGTTAAGCTGAAGGCTACCATGGACCATCCTTTAGCCTCTCCTGAATCTTACATGTGTTTGGTAGGGAAGCTAAATTTCTTACCTTACACTAGGCTTGACCTGAGTTTTGTTGTTTAGCACCACCGTCGGTATCTTCAAGCCCCTTGTCACTCTCATATGCAGGCTGCTTTACACCTGCTTAGATACTTGAAAGGTACTTCTGATGTGGGTGTATTCTTCAGCAGTTCCTCTAATCTATATCTATCTCTGTTTGCCTATTATGATAGTGACTGAGCTGCTCGCCCTGACACTAGAAGCCAGTCTCTGGTTTTTGTATCCCTCTAGGGGATTCTCTTATTGGTTGGAAGGCCAAGAAACAACCGATGAGTACATGACTATTAGCAAAGTGGCGGCTGAATTGACTTGGGTTGTTAGGTTGCTATCCGATTTTGATGTTGTCTTTTCTTCTTCAATGCCCGTGTTTGTGACAACCATGCTACAATCCACATGGTTAGGAATCATGTATTCCATGAGTGCACCAATCACATAAAGTTGGTCTGTCATTTTATCAGGTCTAAGCTTACTGAAGGTTTTGTTTCCTTGCATCATGTCTCCACTTCTGCTCGGCTGGCAGATGTGTTTACCAAGCCCCTCACTGGTGTTGCTTATAATTCTTTGCTGCTCAAACTGGGAGTGTTGTCCCCCTCGAACTTGGGGGAAGGGGGGGGGGGGTTGGACTTCCACA